ACAGCAACAGCAACTGCAACTGCAACTGCAACTGCAACAGCAACAGCGACTGCAACTGCAACTGCAACTGCAACTGCAACTGCAGCAGCAACATCAGCAGCAATGACACCAACAGCTGCAGCAACATTCTGAGCATCAACGCCGGAGAAAGTGGCAACAGCCGCAACAGCAAGAGCAAACACCGGAGCGGCAACAAAAGCGTTTCATTGGAGCATCATCAGCAACCGAAGCAGGCATGGTTCTGGTCCTGACAGGCCCTTCGTGAGATAGCGGAACGATTACCTCGGGGCATTGACTGTGTTTAGTTACGAGCTACTCCAGAAGTCCACTTTTTCACTTTTTCTTGCGGGGCTCCCTTCTTTAAACCAACTAGTAAGGAAGAAAAGCTACCCTGAATATTAGGGGGTTACTGGGGAACCTAGTTTACGTTCGGTGGTAAAGGACCCTATGAAGTATCCCGCCCTAACCCCCCAGGTGCCTACTATCTCGGGTACTAGAGCCCCTAGGGCCCCCTTTAGTAGGTACCTGGTTAGGGTTTAGGGTTTAGGGTTTAGGGTTTAGGGGGGTTCGGGCCGGAGGTGGTCACCTGGAGCAGACCGTGCGAGCAGGCGGCACCGACTGAGGGAGTTGAGCTGCCTATCATACCATACGGGTAGTTGTCTCAATTAGTAACCCTTTTAGGGTCCTTAATATCAGGGTGCCGTACTTTAATAGGGACCTACAAGGGACCCTAATTTCGAGAACTACCCATATCTCACTCACTTTCTGTACTGTACTAGACATACTGTACCCTGGCGTGGTTCATCCCGGCAGGTTTTGTTCGCAAAAACTATATAGCTATTGTAGGGTTCCGGATCTTTGGTTTCAAAGTCAACGAGCAAATTTAGCCAGATCTAGGCCAGGAAGAAACAAGAGAGCAGTGGGAATTGGGGTTTGCTGGTAGGGTTGAGGAGTCTGGGTTCAACACTTACAGTTCAGGGTCTATCTGGGGTTGAGGGGCGGGGTCTATCACATGCGAGCTGGAGCCTGCAACTATAGTTAGACGTGGTGATGTTTTTTTCGCGCTGCCGTACACTATCCACAAGCACTTAGTCTGCTACCCCACGGCCAAAGGGGCTCCCCCAAAACGGCTTTGCCTGAGTTTGAGGGTCCAGGATCAAGGCCTCGCATGTTGAATTTTCTCTTGGGGCTGGTCCATAAAGCCCCAGTTTGGCGGGCTGCATCCTGATATAGGGGCCTGAATAATTAGAATAGATTTTGGGGTATATTATACTATAGTATAAAGAACCCCCAAAGCCCTATCCTAATTACATATTAAGGCCCCTACATTAGATTGCACACTCTCCCTCGCACCGTACGCTAGACAGAATGTGTCCTATACTGCCACCCCGGAAAGGGATCATAGCAGTTCTTGGAGGCGGCACTGAATACGCAGATCATCACTGTTCTGGAGAGCTCCGGAGTGCCTCCTCAGGCTCCGAAATTTGTTGGTGCACAGCTATAGAGTCTACAGTGCTGTTCGGCTGTTTTGTGATCACCAGTCAGAATCTCTATGCTCTATACACTGTTATCCGCAGGATGGGGGGGTTGTGTCAGTTTGCTCTCGCACAGACGTCGTTGAAGAGCATCTTTCAAAATGAGTTGAAGGACGCATAGCTGACTCAGCCAATGGGCAACTGCAACATCTTGACCTCGGTTCAGAAGTGTGTTTGGCATCTTGTCTGACGTCGTCCCTAGCATTGTGCCTTATGCCTACGTGCCTGCGGATTTAATCAACAGGTGTTTTGTTGCTCAGATTTGCTGACTGCTTTCGTTGTGAGCGGCGTCATCATTGTCTGTTTGCTTCCTTTGACGTAGCATGTCTGCGGGGTACGCAGCAAGTCTTTGACCCTGCGACTTGCAAGCCAGGGAGTACGGCGAGGCATCATTACATGCTGGTTTCTCTTTACATGTGCGCACTATGTTGAAATACGCACAAGGTTTGAGTGTACATGGATGAAGACACATGCATATGTAGGTAGGGATATGCGGTCATGCAGCAGGCGTATAAAGTGTGTACACTGTATTCCGTCTCGCATACATGTATGTTCTCACATCCGAAACAAACGCGCGTCTGTACAGTATGTACTTAAGAGCATTTGGTTTCCAATGCGTGTGTGTATCTGCCTGTGTTCACGAATGCAAACAAGTTGCATGCACATGTGGCTTTAAAATGCACATGGGCTCCGTGGCAGATGGACCCATGTTTGTGTGGATTCTGAGATGAACTCGTTCTTCATTGAGCACATACATGCGCAGGTGCAGGCATGTATTTGTGCTGAATGCATGTATGTATGAATATATGTATGTACTGCAAGTATGTAAGTACGTACGTACGTACGTATGCATGCATGTGTGTATGTACGTATGTATGGATGGTTGGATGGATGGATGGACAGATAAATACGACGAAAGTATCTGTGTACATATGTCTGGATATATGTAACTGCGGGATATGTAGACGCTTGCATGTGTTGGCTCGTGTGCAGATGTAGACATACTTGTTCTTCGCGTTGTGTGTGTGTGTGTCGAATATCGTCAAAGTATATATATATATATGCATGCATGCATGCTTACATGTCAAAACTCGCGAAATCGTGGACATACACACAGACATCCATTTTAACACATACACATACAACATAGCTCTCCATTCTGAAGGTATATGCGCATAGCTGATATGTATTTACACGTTTATGCATATATTCATAGGTAGATAGATCGATAGATAGATAGATAGATAGATAGCTCTATGTAGTACTTGCACTAGACGCGTATGTCATGCATGTACATGTAGACGTATGCCCTTCGTGCATGCATGAATGCATGCATACACAATGCATGTACACGCTTCTGCTTGTCAGTCTCGCGTATGCTTCACGGCACGGAGGCCTTTATGCACATCCAGCAGACACACATCTCTGCTATGCTGGAAGAACGGCTGGGAGGAGATGTGGGATCGGAACCTCGGCCATTGCATTAGAAAGAGGAGAATTTGGGATTCACAGCTTCGCAAATTTGTTTTTGTCAGGGACGGAGCTGAGGGAGGTGTTTAGAGCCTAAACCTCAGAATTGGGCCTGGGATTAGGTCGCCAGCCGTTGACGAAGGCTTGCATTCAGAAACGTTGGCACATGTTGACACCCTCAGGATTTGCGCAGTGTTCCCGCTTTGGTGAAATTGGGGATTCCAGACACTGTAGGACCGGGGCGACCAGTCAGGACAGGCGTTTTGCATGGCAGCACAGAAACGTGCTGCTCACTCAGTGATCCGAGAACCTCGTAGAAACTGTTGCACAGGTTTCAAGAGAACCGTGCACCGCCCCGGAAGGCACACAATGGCGGCGACCATATAGGTAACATAGCGGGTTGCCGGTCTGCAGATTGTGACGTACAAGGACTTTCGCAATGCAAGGACACAACATGACACCAAGTGCCAACATGGGACATACCAGTCGAGTACGCAATCCCCATGCTGAGCCTGAGTGTAGTTCACAATCTCTGGTGCAAGGTTAAGGACATTTAAACTCACACCGGCGAAAGGAGATCGGCCTTCCTAGGCATGTCAAGCCTCGACTTCCAGAACACCAAGCATTACGAGTCTTCGCAGTCGCAACCGTACCGTTCGCCATATGTAATCTAATCACAGCGACAGGAGCCCTGAGCTAAGGTTGCCAGCAGACTCAGTTGTCAAGATGGTGCAGGCATTGCGCTGCAAGCATGCGATGCTGGGATCGATGCACGGCAAGAACCCGCTTTACTGGCGAACATTTGGCGATACTCAGTGGAGAAGGCGCGCCACTGTCCAATTTAAAGCCGTGCAAGCCACCAGAAATGTGCCGATTTGTTGAAGCAGTTTGCGGTTGAAATTTGAAATGTTCAGATCTACATATTTGAGGAACGACAACGGCACATGCATGTACCCCCTATTTAACCACGAGGCATTGGATGATGCAAAGACAAACGCCAGCTACAAGAGTCCCGGTGCACGGCGTGCATTCATACTCCCGGACTTTGCGCAGAAGCTGCTTCCTGGGGAAGCTGTTTTCAAAGTCAGCAGCAAAGGATACATTGCAGGCGATGCTATCATTGCTCGCAACCCATGTACAGCACCATGGGATGTCCAAAAGGTTCGTTTGCTGAGCAACGTCGAGGTCCTGGAGAGATTCCGGGGCTACCCAACATGCTTGCACGACGATGTGCTGCTTAGTCGTGTTCGGAAATCCTGTCTAAATATGCTATACGGTTTAGGGAATCCTGTCTAATTATGTTATGGTATGCTGCCCGCAGAGTACAGACCGTGGACTTACGCACACATAGCTTAGGCTCCTTCTTTCTGCGCACGAAAGTTGTGATTTCGCGCCAGCCCATGTCCTAGCGGGTGGAGATTACGATGGTGACACCGTCCTTATCCTCACCGACACATCACTGGTTCAGCATTTTAAAAACTCTGTTTACGAGCATGCCAGAGTTTGCGAGGTACACGATACCGTAAAGAAGCTTGTGCCTTCGGTGGACTGTCACTCGACCGGATCAGAGTCGCCATTCCGGAGCATCTGCAAAGCAGCCGCCGAAGCCTTGAAGAAGGACCTGGTGGTAGGTGGCCTTGCAAACCGCTGGCACTTCCTGGCAGATGAACTTGGAGCAAGACATGAGTCTGCCATCAAGGCTGGCCTTGCTCATCAACTTGCTCTCGATGGCGGCATCGACAGCAGGATTTCTATGCGGCAGATCACCACTGCTTTGGAATTGCCCGATCATCAGGTTCCTCACTGGCATCGGTCTGCGACGCGGGGCAACGTCGTTTATTCGAGAAGTGTTCTTGGAAAGCTTTACACCGCTCTGGACACCGACAAACTACACGACAAATATCGTCTGCAGTATGGCAACGTTAGCTTGTACCAGGCCGTCTTGAAGCCGCACGCGATCAACTTCGAGTCTTTCCAAATCAAAGTCGATGTTGACGACGTGTTACGGGCCTTCATGCCGCACGCGCAGAGGATTCTTCAAGGGTTTAGGCAGAAAAGCCAGGAGTGCCGCGCCACAAGAAGGTGGGATGATCTTGACGTCTTCTTCCAGTCAGAGCTTCGCGGCTGCAGCGATCCGCCGCTTCTGGCAGCCGCCATATATCGTCAGCAGTGTGATGACTTCCTGAAGAGTGCCGCTGACAAGAACTTGAGAAATTACCATCAGGCAGCTCGGTCTGACTCTGGTAGGGTCTGTGTAAGAGTCCCGGGATGTCAACAGAATACTCCATGTGCCGAACTACTTCGAAGCATTCTGCCTAATATATCAGGCGGGAATAACTACCAGTATTATTCCTTAGGGTTCCTGATGATTATACTGCAAGGCACCCCCAAAACCCTCTTCTAAATTCGATTGATTACGGTCCCTATATTACAGAGAAACTCCCGAACCCTGAGCTTGCCTCCTAAGTGCCTTCGAAAGTCCTCGATCTGCCGCTCGGCTCAGCTGTGGTTGTTTCGGTTATTTTCGGTTGTAGCCGGCAAAGCTCGAGCTGGTTTCACAGACTCCTCTCCCGACGTAAACCCTATCCAGCGCCCCTAAAACCCTAAACCCCCAACTATGTAAACCTTGCGCCCCTAAACCCCAAGCCACCGGCAACGGGGACAAAACCAGCTGTGAAAAAGAAGCCCGAAGCACCAGACACATAAGGATTAGGCTGTGTAGGGCTCTTGAAACCCTAAACCCATTGTAGAGTTTATAGGGTTTGGGGTTCAGGGGTTAGGAATTAGGGCAATGGGGGCCTATTGGGGGGAAGGAAGACTGTCGATGTTTGGGGCGAAAAGCTTCCGCCACTTGGAGGTTCATGGGAAGTCATAAGTAGGGTTATACGTCCCCTAATATGGGTTATAATTATAGTTACCCTACTTATAACCCCACTTATTACTACCCATGAACCTCCAAGCAGGTAGAGCTGGAACTGGAACCTGCATGGAGGCTTTGTCCGAGGCCGGAGCCCGAGGCTTCAGGGCCTTCGGGATATTTGAATATATGCATACGTACGTACATACATTCATATATTTCTATATATATATATATACACATACATAGATACATACATACATACACATACACATACATATTATGAAAGGCCTCTGGTCCAAAATCAAACTCCTCGTACAACCCAAAGCCTACATTTGTCTATCTACCTGTTTATCTATGTCTTTATCGATATCTAATCTACCTATCTATCAGCTAACATAGGCCGCAAAAGAGAGCTAACTGCCTCTCTACCTATCTATCTATGTATCTATCTATCTATCTATCTATCTATCTATCTATCTATCTATCTATCTATGTATCTATCCATCGATCTATCTATCTAGCTAGCTACCTATCTAGCTATCTTTTTTCTATCGATATGTGCTGTAATCCCTTCTACCTTCCGACCCTTCATCCTCATCCTCAACTTACAGTAGTTACATGTAATCTCATCTTGACTTAGACGATTCGGATTTTCTTCCGATGTTGTAAGATGCGTTTCTGGGTGTGTATTGGCAGCCGGGCTTCGGGATATGAGCCTATCCGGGATGAGGTTGCCAATCGAGTTGCTGAAGTTTTCAAGGCCTAGTGCTTGAGGTTTAGAGTTTTAGGTTTCGGGTTTAGGGTCTGGGGTTTGGGATGTTTAGGGTTTATGTTTAGATCTTAAGCTTTAGGGTGTACGGCTTGGGGTTTATTTAGGTTCTCCGTGGTCGATCCTTACAGCGTTTTCCTGACAGCCAACACCGGCAAGCTGCGATAAATGCAGATGAGGAGTGTTCGTCCCTGTTTTCATTTACTGCGTTTGTTCTAGTCAGCTCCTGTCACAATCGGAGCTACTGTCAAGCTTTGCTGAAACCTTGCGAAAGATCGTCAACATCCAACGAAAGACCACTAAACCCTATGAACACTATCAGAAGCCTCTGGTGCAGCCACGACGTGTGTTTCCAGGCAGCTGTGCGAATACGTGGTGAAATTCGTGGCGAAGGACCCTTATCCCATGAGCGCGGCAATCCGACCAAAGCTCCGCTACAAACCCGCCAAACGGAGCGATGCTCCGTAGGTGATGGAGATCACAGGGTGTAGAGCTGCGAAGGAGGTCGGGGGTGCCCAAAGACTGTAATCTCCTGAACCCTGCACACTGGTTGGCAGAAAAATGCAAGCCTTGACCCTCGAAACACCGTAAGATCCCTAAGCACTCAGAGGCACGAAGCCCTTGTTGCATGGCCTGTGAGGCGCAAAGCACTCCTCAACAGAGTCTTTGACCTGGGTCGGCACTAGGAGGACAAACGCATAGGCAAATTAGTGTTTCCTTAGAGGACTTGTACAGACCGTTGTATTTCGCGCTTGTAACCACTGCCCTTTCTGCGTTCGGACATGCTTCCGAATTATGGAAGCACGAGCTGCAAAATTGGAAGACTCCTGCAGTTGCACAGCTTGTGATGTGTCGTTCTAACAGGCTCTGCCACCCGAGGTGCCAGTATTGCGACCTAAGACTTCAAGATTTGAGACCCGAGCCTGGCAAAACCCTAAATCCCTGTCGAGGGTTCCCAACCCAATCCCGAGCGATGTTCCCGGCCTGGTTTCACAACAGCCCATTGTATCTTAGCCCAACAGAACTGGCATGGCTCAGGTGCTGAGTAGTACAGACAGCCAAAATGCAAGATGTTGAGAAGTCAGGATAGTTCCAACAGAGCTGATGCACAGAAATATTGAAAGTATGGAGCAGCAGGAAACAACTTGTAGTGCTTTGCTTCTGCACCAGTACCGGCAAGTTGTGTCGACAGTCTTTCCTGTTGAAGATACCGTCGTGGCGAGCAGTCATGTCGGAAGCTCCCTCACAACGGAAGGCAGGCTGGCTGGACAGCGACCAGGCCATCCGAACTAAAGCACACTACATCCTAGATCCCAAGCAGGAAGTCCCCTAAACCCTAAACCATAAACCCAACCCAACTATTGCAAGTCTCGGTCACTTTTAGATATCTGCGGGGTCTTGTGGTTTGGACATCTTAGACGGCTGCCGAAGCTCACTTGCTGAAAAGAGCTTCATATCTGCAGCAACTTGAGGAAAGCTTATTCTAAACCCCCTTGACTTACTTAACATACTATATCCAGCATGCTTACGCGGCAACACTTAATTACGCAGGAAGTTCTACAACGAACAGTAGTGGATTGGAGAGATAGCTCGTGTTCAGTGAGCATGTCTCTACATTTCTGTATATATATATACACACACACACATGCATACGTACATGCCAATGTGCACATGTATTCCGCACGCATGCACATAAGCAAACGAGAATCGTTAACTGACTGGGCAACTAAGAAGTAGCTACATTTCAGTGCATAACTGTACTTTACATTAGTTAGCACCTACAGACATGCCGACATACCTAGGTACATACATATATGTATCTACATGCATCGCAAACAATGCATGTGTTCAGGACTTCCACCACTTCGTTGGCCGCATGGTCCAGGGCGCAGTCTTTCGGGAGTACTCGGACGAGCAGCTGTGGACAGCTGCTTGCTGACTTACGTCTCAGGGCTGACGTAGGGTCTTTAAGGCCCCGATCACTAAACGCAATTGGGCTGCTGACAACGTCCCCAGCCTGGAACCCCAAACCAAACACCGGGAACTTCCGCCAGCTTGCGCCGTAAACTGTTCCGCAAAACCTGAAACCCTAAGCTTCACCCTAAGCCCCCAGGTACCTACTACAGTATATAGGGTACGAGAGCCCCTCGGGCCCTATATAGTAGGTACGTGGGGGGTAAGCTTCAAACCTTGCAGCACCAGAGTACTTGGCCAAAGGCCGAAGATCCGGTCAGCGACACTCCGAACCCCTCATTCTAATATAGGGGCCTCAATAATTACCTATATTATTTTGGGGCTCCTTATTATGGATATATACTAAGTACTATGCAACTGGCTTTTAAGTCGAACTCTGGTGTCTAATGTAGGGGCCTCAACAATTGCCTATATTATTTGGGGGGTTCCTTATTATAACTAGACTATAAAGGACCCCAGAACCCTATTCTAATTATTAAGGCCCCTAGACCCTAAACCCCTTGTAGTAGGCCTTATAGAACCTTTTAAGGAACCCTTAAAAGGAACCCCCCCCAAAAGCCTGTTATAAGTAGTAGTTACCCTACTTATAACCCCACTTATAACTACCCATGAACCTCCAACCAATCGAAGCTGGGAGCGAGGTCATCGCCAACCGGGCGGCGCGCCAGCGCCTCTCTTTGCTCCAAAAGTGCCGATCAAAAGAAGGCCCTCTGAGAGTTTCCGAAGAATAAGGTTTAGGGTTTAGGGTTTAGGGGGGCTACCTTATTATGGGCTCTTTTGTAAGGATCCTACCATTTAGGCGACTATAGTGGGGTCCCCTATGTTTGGAAACCCCCATCTGCAGAACAAGATGGGTGTTCTGAGGTTTATGGTCAGAGCTTGTTATTGGATGTGTAGGGCTTACTACGTAGGGTTTAGGGTTAGATCGGGACTTGAGGTGGATGGAAGGGGTCTAGGACGGCAACTTTGAGAGAATGCACCCGTGCAACGATCAAGGCGATCACTTGTTGTAAGTCTGTCGCATGTTGCTGTTTAGGATTGAGGGTTCTATTGCTACGTTAGGGCTTAAGGGGCTCCGCTTGTTCTATCTTTGGAAAGGGTCTGGACTTCGGCTCATCACTAGTGCCCCATATGCACTCGACCCTTTGTGTTGCATGTAGCGTTTAGGGTTTTAGGGTTCAGGAAACCCCGTGATGCAGCAGTATCCTTACCGCTTGAGTTTGCTTTAGGCGGCGCTGTTTGACTGAGGACCTTCTGGCCCATCCTGCTCTCCCCCACTCTATGTCAAGATAAGTCTCACCGGGTACCAAGACCCTGAACTCAAAATCCCGCGATGCGAAGCCCCAACATCCTGGAGCCCTCAAGCCATGAAATCCTAAACTTAAACCCTGAAATCCAAAATCCAAAATCCAAGGCCCTGGAACCCTAGAATCCCACCACTACGCCCTTGAACCCTAAACTCAAAATCCTAAACCGTGCCAAAATCCCAAGCTGTAGAGATCCTTATGAAGAGCTCCCCAGGCCGGCTCGATATCACCTGCTTCTGCACCTCTGCTTGGCATAGTCTAGTGGTAGAAGAAAAGAGGCCTCAACAGTTTTCAAGAGGGATTTTGAAGGGCTCCTTAAAATGAGGCGCCTGAGGGCTCTATAAGGGCATAAGGGTTTAGTGGCCTTAGTTCTTAGAATAGGTTTTTTTTCGGGGTGTACTCTGGCATCAGAATATGGGGACGCTGAGGGGATCTAATTGCCAATTCGTCAGACCGTCAGACCCCTACATTGGGGCTGAGTGCGGCGGTTTAAGGTGAATGCTTCCGGATTTGTGTGTCTGAACTGCTCTAGACTTGAAATGGGGCTTTCCGAAAATAGGGGACCCTGATATAGTACCCCAAATAGTAGGATCCTTATTATAAGGACCCCAAAATAAGGTACCCTAGTTTTTGGAAACTCCCAAATGGGTATTTGCCTAGATGAAGCCAATCCTTCACCTGTCGCCTCGGAGCTGCAAGTGAACTCTCGATTCGGAACCCCAAATTTAGGGTGTTTAGGGTTTAGGGTCTAGGGTCTAGGGTTTAGAGTTTAGGGTTTAGGGATTTTGAGCCTTCAGCGTCCCAAAACCTGGTTCCTGGAAGTCGAGAACATGCTTTCGACCCAATCTGCTGTTCCTGATTGCCTCTGCCATTCAGGAAAAACGAAAGTCTACGTGCGGAAGCCTTGTGATACTGCTTAGACTCTCATCATGCAAAGCCTTACAGCCTGACAATACGTTACCTAAAACATCCAAAGCCCAAGTCCTTTAGTCCCTTCACCCTAAACCTGAGACCCTTTAAACCCAAAACCTCAACCCTCTATTTTCTCCTGTTGGAGCCATATAGAACGCTTAAAGTAACCCCTATCGCAGCCCAAGTAGCGACCGTCATACAACCGCTACAGAACCCTGATTGTAATGGTAGCAACACCCCAAACCCATATGGGCGTCTCCGAAAATAGGGGACCCTAATATAGTACCCTAAATAGTACGACCCTTATTATAAGGACCCCAAATAAGGTACCCTAATTTTTGGAGACTCCCATATAGGTCCCTTTGTAGAAGTCTCAACGCTTTGGAACGAAGGCAGGGAGGCCTGTGGCTCGCAGTACCAGCAGCTCGCGGTTTGCGTCCGCTCCAGCCGTCATCTCAGAACACAAAGCATTTTTGTTGTCTGAGGGGTGATTCTACTAAGGGTTACTATAAGACAAGGGTTTTAAAAAGGCTTGCTGTAAGGATTATCTATCATACGAGGGTTATTGTAATGGCTCTCATAGGTGTTGCGATACGTGTCTAGGGTTCAGAGTTGCGGATCTGGGTGTTATACAGTGTAGGGTTTAGTGGTTTAGGGTCTACCAGGGTTAAGGGTTTGGGGTTTTAAACATTTGGTTCGCGAGGTCTTCAATTAATAAGGGTTTAGGGTCTATAGGGCTTATAAGGAGATTTCGAGAACTTTTTGGTTGCACGGGTTTCAGTAAACCCTAAACCCTAAACCCTAAACCCTAAACCCTAGGTGGTTTCAGAGGTAGTTCAGGCTTGCAGACTCTTGGGACCGCTGCCTGGGAGCTTGGTTCGAGCTTAGGGGCTTAGTACCGGGGCCTTAATGATTAGAATAGGGCTTTGGGGTATATATTCTACTATATAAGTATAATAAGGAACCCCCGAAACCCTATTCTAATCATAAAAGCCCCTATATTAGGGGGTTTAGGACGGTTGCAGGGGTGAACTTGTCACAGCCTTCAACTTGTTCCGACTCTTCTGCAGGCCCCGAAGCCCATGAGAAGAGCAGTCGGCGTTGTACAGTGTACAGGGAGTTGCGAGCGGGATTCAGCGGTTTGCAGGCTCCTTTTTCCTGTGAGGTGCGACCCATCTTCTGAAAAAAAAAACTTTGCCTTTATTCGGTGCCATTCCTGACACCTCTGGCTACAGTCCGAATCACAGTTACTATAGGGTGTAGGATCCTGCGGAT